AACTGCCTTTGTTCGTGGTTTTATGACAAGTCACATTTTGTCGTCATTGGATCACTTTCAGAATCAGCAGTTGGATTCTTGGTTTATCATCATCATCGTCATTATCGTCATCATCTAATGATATTTATATTGGTATTCTTATTATCACATTGTTATTATTATTTAAATTATTAGTAACAATACCATTTTTATTGATATCATTATCATTATCATTATTATTATTATCATTATTACTAATAGTATTACTATTGTCATTATCATTATTGTTATCATTATTATCATGATCATTACAATAATCATCCTCCTCCTCATCATAAACATCTTATTATTATCATCATTATTATTTATATGATCATTATTGTTATTAAAGTTATTATTGTCATTATTGTTATTATTTTCATTTTTATTATGAACATTATTATATATATTGTCTTCTTATATTCATCATTATCCCATAATCATTTACAATTATTGTTATTATATACTGGTTATCATTTGCTTATATTCAGTATTGTTTTTCGTCATAACCTTATAAAGAAGTGAAAGTTACTTATACGATATTAATTTTGATATTGTTTATCATTATTGAATATTGATAGTAATTATCCCTTCATTCTTCGTTATTCTTCTTGATCATCATATATCTATCGTAGCTTTTATATGTATAAATAGTATACATTATATATTAATTTATTATATTTATAATTTATATGTTATATATATGATATATTAGTACTACGTATATTATATATCACATATGCATATAATTATTATATATTTTATTTGATTATATTATATATATTTATATATTATACTATATATATAATATTATATCTTATATTATATATATATATATTAGTTTTATTTATATATATTACTATGTTATAGTTTTAATTTATATATGTTAATTATTATATATGGATATATTTATTATTTTATGTATATTATATTATATTATTATATCTATATATATATATTATACTTATTTTATATATACTATATTTTATTATATTATATATAATATAGTATGTATTATTTATATTAATATATATATATATATATACTATATATATATATATAATATATTATATTATTACTATCTATTATCTATATGTATGTATTATATTATTATTATACTTATTATATTATATTATTATTATTATTTTTTATATATATATCTTTTTATATATATGCTTATATTTAATACTACGATAGTATATGATATCAAGAAGGCATAACACGAATGAGTGATAATAATAAATCCATATCAAACAAAGATATTACAAATATCAAAAGTAATAATCGTATAAGGTAACGTTACTTTCCTTGTATACATGGTTATGCGAAAAACCCAATACCGAATATAAAATGATAAAATGATATTATAATATTATTATTTATATCTATTATTATATATATATATTTATCTTTTATATTATTATATTATATATTTATATATATTATTATACTTAGTTATATATATTACACAATCACACACACACTCATCATATTATATATATATATATATGATATATATTATATTTCTTATTATAATGTATTATCTTATTTATATTTTATATTATTATATTATTTTATTTCATTTATGTGTGTGTGTGTGTTTTATTCTGTGTGTCGATCGGTGTGTGTGGTGTGTGTGTTTGTCGTGTGTGTGACTGTGTTTGTGTGATTCGTGTGTGTGTGTGTTGATACTAGTTATTATTAATATATATTTTATTATACTATATTTACTTATAACTATATATCTATATCATATATCATTAGTATATTGTGGTGTGTTGTGGTGTGTGTGTGTGCTGTGTGTGTGTTTGTGTGGGTGTGTGTGTTGTGTGTGAATATACTACTATATATTTTCATTATTTATACAGATATTCACTCTATATTATATTATATATTACTATATATTTTACTATTTATTATATATATATATTATTTATGTAATTTTTATATTATATATACCTATTATTACTTATATTTATTATATATATATAATATATAATTACATTATATATTTATATATTTAATTATTATATATATATATTACACTATCTTATATAATATCAATACATTATATCTTATATATAATATATCATATTATTTTAATATATATATATATATATATATATATGTATGTTATATAGTATATTTATATTATTATTTTATATAAATTATAATATATATTATTATTATTATTATTTATATTATATATACTATGATATTTATATATATCTATTTATATATTATAATATACATTATTATATATATATATATATATATATTTTATATTATATATATATATTATGAATATATATATGACATTATATATTATACATCTATTAATTATTTTATAGATATCTATCTATCTATCTATTTTATCTATTATATTCTATTTTTTTATATAATATATATATGTATATACTATTTCTTATTTTATATATTACATATAGTATATATATATTATTATATAGTAGTATATAGCTATTATATATATATTATATTACTACTTTAATATATTATCTTATATATATATATATTTTATTTATATAAACACATCTACACACACACTACACCACACACACACCAGCACACACACCCACACTACACACATCTACAACAATATATAGTTATATATTTTTATATATCATATATATTATATATTCTATACTATAATATATATTTATATAATATATGATATATAGACCATTTATATTTATCTCAGTTTGCAAAACGCATACCGCGCAGCGTATATCTTTGAGCATTACTTCCCAGTGAGTAATAATGTCTTCTTTCAACCCAACGTTTTTGCTGAGTAATGAAAGGGAAAATGATACTCCTTTCATAATGATATTAACTTGTCGATGAATAGGATTTCAGAAATTAAACCAAAGGAAGATCAACAAGTGCCTTTAATCGTATCAAATTGCTAATCAAAAGTATTTCTCGTTTCGCATAAATATGGAGATGATGCGTCGTGTTTGTACATCTTATANAACATTATATTATATATATATATATATATATATATATATATATATATATATATATATATATATGGGAGAAGTCTACGTCCTGCAGTGGATTGAATCAGGCTGATGATATATATATATATATATATATATATATATATATATATATATATATATATATATATATATATATGTATATATATATATATATATATATATATGTATATTATATTATATATATTTATATATATGTATATATATTATATATATATATATATATATATTATATATATATACATACATATATACATATATACATACATATGTGTGTGTGTATGTACATGCATATATATTACAGCACATATACAAATACCTCTGTACCCACACATGCAGGCACACGAACAGTTAGGCAAAAACAAAACGCAAATACATACAATTTCCATACTGTAGTTGCAGTCTTCGCAAAGATGATTTTCTCTTCACTCGAACAAACTTCACCACCAACGCGTTTCGTTAAATAAAATGTCTTAATCACTTTTAACAAATATTTTTTCCCTTCGCGTGATCTTTTCGCTACGCTCGTTACCCTGAGACTAGCTGACCCAAGGAAGGTCAACCCTACAAGAAAACTGACCCCAGATATTATCCCTAGTCTGCACCTGAGTAAATAAGGGTCAGTTTCATATTTATCAAAATCGCAGAATGAATATAAGCTTTTCAGGACAGAAAGAGATTTGACCTGAGCTGACCGGGCGAGGTCGTCCTGAGGTCCACGTATGGGTGAACAACTTTTATTTATTTTTTTATTTCTTTAGATAACCAAGAAGTTGTGAAATTAGAAAAAAAACTTTTGCTTGCGTTATGATATTAATAAGAATTTCAGAACAAAATTCAAAAATGCGAAATAAATCAGTGTCTATATGAAATTAATGTATTTATGATCAGCGCAAGATATTAATTTGATAAAGGCACGAATGAGATACCAGCATCTCCGATTTTTCTCTCACGTGCACAGGAGACCGCGTGGACAAAGAAAATGCTGACTTCACGCGCCATGTTGATTAGGCTTACATATTATTTCGGAATATCGACCCTTTAGCACTTAAATAACCCGTTCCTTCGTTTGCTCAAGGGAAGAATAATATTTACTCTTCCCACGACAACCATTCTTAGGCCGTGACACCTCTCCGGACTGGAATTATTTGGATAAATAAAATAATTATCGCGGTTGGCATGGTAGTTGCTGCTTCCCCTTGGCAACAGGTAGTCTTTTATACCGATTTTTTAGAGACGCTTATTATCTAAAAACAAAGAAACTTCTCTTGGGATTTATTTTTTTATTGAATCGCTGAGCAGGAGAGAGAAAAAAAACACGAGGTTACGTGTGGGTTTCGTTATAACGTGGAGAGATAATGGCGGTTTGAATAGCGATATAAAAAGAAATACGAAGTCGACGCATTCGGACACGTCGCTCGAAATGATGTAATACTAGCGATTTTGATAAGCAATTTTTCCGACGAATGCTAAAAAGGCGCACGTGGCTTTTCGGTTTCTTTATGGTATTAGGGGATATATATAAGGATTTAGCGAGGTATTATGTCTCATGATAATTGAATTATTATCCATGATCTTTATGATAATACAAAGGTGTAACGAAAAGAATATTCGAATATCAATACCTGTGCTTGCTTTGTTCTCAATGATGAAAATTATTAAACAAATAGTTTGACGAATAATGAATATCGAAATACAAAATAATATAGAAGTTAAATACAGCACAGATACATGTATGAATTAAAATTCGAAGTGCAGAATATTCATATACGAAAGTTATGTAAAAGTGACACACGTACACTCTCACACCAACACATTATCCTCCACATGACCTCTTATCCCCCACACACCAAAATAACTAAAAGCAACAAAACAGAAATAAATATAAACCCTCTTGTCTTTTTTTAGAAGCCTTTGTCGCCCCCCCCCCCCGAGCGACGCCGAGACCCCAGCCAGCAGCCTCGCACGCATTATTGGAATGGTGGAGGAGGCGAGGGCCCGACGCGTCGACGGAGAAGCTCTGAGCGACGGAGACGAAGAAGCCCTTTTCTCTGCTCCCGGCGGCTGGCTGGCTCACCTCTCCCTCGCTCCTGGTCGTGGCGGTCGTCCCCTCGCTCTTCCTCTCCTCCCGTCGGCAGGTCGTCGCAAAATGCCCAACATCAAGATCTTTTCGGGGTCGTCCCATCCCGACCTGGCGCAGAGGGTCGTGGATCGCCTCGGCATTGATTTGGGGAAGGTCGTGACCAAGAAGTTTTCCAATTTGGAGACCTGGTGAGCTTGACCGCCTCTCTTTGCGGGTGTCTGTGTGGTGCGAGTGTTCTTGAGTGTCCTAGACGCCGATTCACACCGTGTCCGTTTGTCTTTGTGGCTTTATTTTCGTGTTTTAATTCTTACTCTGGCGTCGGGTGAGGGTCGTCCCCTTATCTCTCCTGAAAGCACGAGGTCTGACGGCTGAGTTCCCTCCTCCCGGGCGACGAAAACCCCTTTTACACCGACTGTCAGTGGGAATAGTTGCCTCCAGGGTGTCAATGGGGGAAGGGAGCCCACAGCGACGTGTGTGAAATGTCCAAATTGTCTTTCATTTGTTAAGAAAATGGGAATATAATAGAGGGAGAGAGAGAGGCCGAGAGGGACGGTCTCCTCGCTCGTTCCATTATGTCATCGAGTCATCAATTAGCGTTAATTATCACCTCGAAGTCGCCTTTAATTGCCGGCTTATTCACTCACTCACGTCGCGAAACTCCCCTGAGTAATTACCCGCGACTTGTAAAATTTTATCATTAATATGTTCCTCTCGAGTTGGAAAGCTTTCGCGATAACAGAAATTGACAACAGGGAGATATTTCGTAATAGAAACAAGAAACAAATTGAATGTCGAAGGTAATTAAGATGAGAGAAGGAGAAAGAGAGAGAGAGACCCAGATCAGCTGACTGAACAGCTGATGCGCCAGAGAAAGGTGCTTGCCTGGCGCTTGGCTTTGCTTGCCTCTGCAATTTCATGCTCGGGGATGAATTTGCTTGTCTCTGCACTTTCAGACACGGGGATAAACATGCTGGGTATAGCAGTTGCATGGTGAGAGGCAGGGTTTTGCTCATCTTTGCAATTGCAGAGATAGATTAGACTGGTGTAGGGGATTATTTTTCAAGATGTAAGGTTATTACATTTTTTTGTAATGTGTGCTTAACAAAACTGAGTAAACTGAGTCCTTGAGTAGGTTTGGGAGATTTGTTTTATTATTTATTATTTCTACATTACTTTCAGGGATGTAATTACATTTAGATTATTTTGATAGACTAATTTGATTCATTTTGCAGATCATCATGTCAGAATAGGAGTCATAATATATAAAGCAAATATAATTCTGTATATTTTCATAGATTTTCCTTTATCACATAACATCACATTTTTATATAAATGAGAAATATTAGTAGAATCAGGACAATCAAAAAATCAATATTAGAATAATTTCTTTGATATAGATTAGAAAAACTTTGGATGACAGATTTTCTTTGTTTTGGGGTACTATGAAGGCAGCATGATTGCAAGGGTGTTGGATATCGCCTTGCTTAGGGTACAATTTTGCTAGGGGATTCGAAAACTGTTGACCTTGACAACTAGTATTCTGCCCTGTCCCACATCTTGCCTGTCCTGTCCTCTCCAGGGGGGTTGTCAGTTTGCTAAAAAAGGTAGAAAGAAGATAATGTATAGAATTGATATATGGCTGAGTTGTTTCCAGGGGGGAAATCACTGATAAGTTATGATGCTGAGGTTTAGTTTTTATATTTTGTTTGTATTTTTTTATTTTTAGGTATTAGGTAGTATTTGAGAGATTAGAAGAAATGCAGACTTATTAAGTCATGGCAACTCCACAGGTTTAGAGGCAGACCTACCCTGAGGCTATTGTCAGGGGATGTCGGATGGAGAATTCCTTCCGTTGTGCATTGTTGGACCCTCCATTAATCTAATGAAATTTTGGATTATCATGACTGTATTTGCGCCCCAAAAGATTCCCCCGTCCACCCTCCTGTGTATTGTATGTTTATTGATAAGGGGGCAGTGTAGAATAGTATTTCACAAGCAGATTTAAGAAGTACCCTAGACTGGGTATCATATTACATAATCTATCTGATAAAATGCTACTGGGGGTGTCCAGGTTGAAGACTGAACCTTTGTTTTATAAATTCTTTATTTTCTTCTATTGTATTCTTGTATAATCATTTGTTTTAGTACCAGCAGTATATTGGTTGAAACGAATAGATCTTTAGATATATATTTTTTTGAAGAATATAGGAAAGATTATTAATATTGCTTTCTGCTGATTATTTCATTCTTGGGGGCACCTTACAGGGAACTGTAGTAGAGACCAAGTCATGGAGGTGTTCCTGATAAAAGGTTTTATTGTCAGCCATCCTAAGCCTAACATAGTTGCCAACTTCTCTGTGGTTCAGCAAAACTTGCTTTAATCTTATTCTTGTTCATTTCCTTGTTTATAATATCATTCAGATTGATTTCCTATTTTTCCTTTGACTACAAAGTACTCCTAATTTTGGAAATTGTAAGAAAGAAGAAAAGGTATTTACTGTAAGGTATGATAGTGACCTTTGAGTGTCATTTGTCTGAATTATGACTGGTCTCCGACTGAATTCCTTTCAAAGCATTCTCTGTAATTTCTTTCAGGTTTAGTTGATTTTCGGCATTTAGTCACTTATGTAGGTTTCTTTGGATATTTGTTGTGCTGATTCTGTTTTATATACAGCATAAAAATAAGGTATTCTTGACATAGGAAGAGGCCTTTATAAATTTGTAAGAAACCTAAAGCAATATATATGTTTTTATTTATCTTGGATAGGTTTGAACTTAAAAATACATTATGGATAGATTGATGAATTATGGCAGTTAATTGTTTTTGGGCATGTATAAGATATTTCGAAATTAGAATGATTTGAGCAGAAATTAATGTATTAAAAGTAGATCCCAATCTTTTTTTAATTGTGTGTAATAAATTTCAGAACATGGACTTCTTTCAGTGATTTACTTTAATTTCATGCGGAATTTGCATTTCACGTTTCTTGTTTTTACACTTTTTCCTGATGTGGTCGACATGCCCAATTAGTGCCGTGTGAGTCTGGTGAAACAAAATACAGCATGATAGACAACACAAAGGGAAATAAAAATCATGCATGTTCATTGTCAGAATTTATCCTGTCACTTCCTGCTTAACCCCCCTCAGGCCTTGGGTGCATGACGAGAGAGCTTCATAGAGGGTGGACGTGGGGAGAACATGAGGGGGATACTAAACCTTAAAATCTTGTTGTTATGTCTTTTAAACTATATTTATCTGAAGTTACTGGATAATGGTATGGAAGTTATCTTTCTTTAACAAGTTTTAAATACTGTGTTTTATTTCACGTAACTCTCACTATGCCTAGATGTACTTTTTCAAAATAACATAACATAGTGTGGAAGAATTCACTGGTTTCTAATATCCATGTTTTCACTGTTTTCATTATCCGGTCTTAGATTTGATTTGCATGCTTGAAAATCCAGAACGCTGTAACACATACATGCATGCACATACAGAATGAATAGATTATATGTATTTTTTCAGCATTTGATTTTTATTTAGATTAATAAAGAAGTTATAAGCGCACCCATAACACTTATACTTGGCACAAACTTGTGTCACTGATGTATTGAAACAATTCTAATAAGTTGTTGATGCTTCCAGTGTGGAGATTGGGGAGAGCGTCCGAGGCGAAGATGTGTACATCGTGCAGAGCGGTTGTGGGGAAATCAACGACAACCTCATGGAGATGCTCATCATGATCAACGCGTGCAAAATTGCCTCTGCGGCCCGAGTAACAGCAGTCATTCCATGTTTCCCTTATGCTAGACAGGACAAGAAGGATAAGGTTTGTTTATGCTCATATTTCAGGACCATTTTATTTTTTTATGTTTTTGCGTATTTTTTTTTCTTAATTGTTTTCAGTTTATTAGGTTTTGTTTTTTGGTCTTTAGGATTTTTTTTTTTGTATTTGTATTAACAGTTTTTGAAATCGTGGTGGTAGTTGAAACCTCACGTTTTACATATGTATCTAGACCAGACGGTACAGACTTTGTATTGAAAACACTATTGGTGTAAGGCAAGTAGGCCTATATGTAACTAGCTCCATGAAGAATAAGAGATTTTACAAATCAATAGATTTGCGTGCCTAAAGTCTATAGTTATTGAATATTATGCTTTAGAAGAGAGAAACCAAATTATTTTGTGAAAGTCCGATAAAGTTATTCCATTGTTTTATTAGATAGCCAACTACATATTGTAAAAACTAGGCAAAATAATTGTAATAATATTATTGTAATTGAACTTAGTCCATGACTTTATGATATGATTCTGTAACTCCTTTTTGAAAGTAGATTTCAGTGGTGGCTTAGGATGCATGAATGTAAAATAAGGCTGTATGTTGACAATCTGTGTACTGTTAACAAATTAATTTTTGGGGAAATGCATGTGCAAGATTCACCAGGAATATTGACGTTAGATTGTAACTATTAAGGAGTTTAGATTGCAATTGTAATCTGGCTGGATGCTCTTTGTGTTTGTTAGAATCAGTTTGCTATAAGCTGGCAAAGTTTCTTTTTATTTCTGTATTTGGTTATGTAATTGTTCTGATCACTTGCAAAAGAGATTAAATTTTTTTGTAGTGCAAAAGATCGAAGAACTGGCCGATCATAAAAATATTGCCAGAGTATTAGGTACTGGTAATGCACATCTTTGAGTTACCGCTTTGCTTTGATGAACTGATGTTAGCAAACTACACTTATGTTACTCTAATTGTAATAAGTAATTGTATGAAAAGAATAACCTGTTATACATAGTCTAGTATGATATATAAACTCAGCATGCCCTTTGAACTCATATACTAGATTCAATCCCGAGGTTGATGCTTGAGGTCTTGTGAAAATGTCCTTCGGCATTGCTGATTATCTGTCGTGGAAGGTGTTTGGTGTATCTGATTGCCTTAGCCTCTAAAAAAGGTTAGCCAGTCAACTGCTAGAATGCTGAAAATGCCATCCAATCAGCAACTGTGATGCCTGCGATGCCTACCAAGCAAGTGTCAGATCGGAATTTTCTCTAGGCCTCAAATATCTCCTGGTATGGATTTATATATGGTAGTAGGTACATAGGCTCCCCTTATGAATTTTTTGTTTTACATTTCACTTCTAAAATGGTTTGCTTGTATTCTTATTTATTTCTCATCTTTGTAAGTCATGTTTAGAAGTTTGCATTGTCAAATTAAGATGTTGCCAGATTAATTAAAATTGCACGTCAGGGATTTGTCTGTCCGTGACTTTAACATAGCATGCTTTTGACCCTAATGGCTTGGCTTTTTCAGGAACAGGTGGCATATAGGCCTCTAGTAAGTTTCTATCTTTGAATAGTTATTTTTTGTATGTTGTGCATGTTCTGTTCTTTTTGTTCAGTGATGATTGAGTGAGTGAATAAATGCTGAAGATGTCTCTTAATAATTGAAATGTGGCTTCATGAAATTATGAATTATGATTCTCTTTATATTGAGACCAATTTTGTTGTTGGTTTAGATCTTGTTTTTAACGTGTTAATTATTATGATGAGGACTTGAGATTTTTGTTTATATTTATATTTATATTTTGCTGTACTGTGCTTTTTGCTTATTTACTTCTTATATTGAATTGTGTGATTCAGATTGTCATATTGGGGTTTGATACTACAGATGAAGTAATTCCTGGTTGAAAATGTATTCAATATTTTGTAAAGAAGTAAAAAGCATGAGCTACAGGCCATGATACAGGCTTAACTAAAAGTAATTAATTGCTTCTCTTGTTTATTCCATTCAGAAGACAATAAAAGGCTGTTTATAGATTGAATTATATTGCGTGGTCGACAATCGTCACCCGATAAAGAGAGATAGGAAAAAGGTGTTGAACGCTATTTTCTCTTGTCTTCATGCAGTCGCGAGCCCCAATTTCTGCCAAGCTTGTTGCCAACATGCTCTCCGTGGCCGGTGCTGACCACATCATCACCATGGACCTCCATGCCTCTCAGATCCAAGGCTTCTTTGATATTCCTGTTGATAACCTTTACGCTGAGCCTGCAGTCCTCAAGTGGATTCGTGAGAACATACCGGAGTGGGGGAATTCCATTATAGTTTCGCCTGATGCCGGTGGTGCCAAAAGGTGGGTGGTGAGGAAGGAGCAGTTCAGGTCTTGCGTTGGCAGCTGGTTTTAGAAACTTTAGGATGTCTAGGGTCTTTGGTTAGCCTCTTTCTGGGTTCTCTTTGTGCGTCATGAGATGAGAGGTTGAGTTATGGTGCGGTCAATAGAAAGAGGGGAACTTTTTCTCTTCTGGTTCATTATGGTTTGATGAAATTGTTACTGAGTAATTTTTATTTTTTCCGAGTACTGTTTTAATTCTTTCTTGCACTGTTAATACTGTACATTATTTTTGTAGTTCATGTTAAAAGCCAAATTATAGCCAAACCAAGTTGTCTTTTTCCTGACCATTAAATCTGTACTGGAAACAAGAGACAGTTGATATGAACCAAAATGATTTAAAAATTATTTTATAGGTTGTATTCTTAAGAATGCCAATCCTTTGAAGAATTGACTCATCACTCTTGATGCCTGAAGGAGGATACCTGCAACTGAATCAGTTCTCCGTTTTCAGAGTCACTTCTATAGCTGACCGGCTTAATGTAGAGTTTGCCTTGATTCACAAAGAGCGCAAGAAAGCCAATGAGGTGGCTTCGATGGTGCTGGTTGGAGACGTGAAGGACCGCATTGCCATCCTGGTTGACGACATGGCAGACACATGTGGCACAATTTGTCATGCTGCGGAAAAGTAGGTGGTTTCTTGCCTCGAATATGAGGGCTGTGCGAGAAATGTGTTTGAATGTGCATGTTTATGTTGTGTTTAGTAAAATTTTAGCACTGGTAGGAAATAGAATTCATAAAGAGAGAAAAAGAATAAATTTAGAGGAAATGTATGAAAAAGTTCTAAACATTATAGAAATAGTTTTAACTAAAAGGAATTACTTCAGACTTATGAAATATCTTTTCAGGCTCATGGAGGCAGGTGCAACCAAAGTGTATGCCATTCTTACTCATGGCATTTTCTCTGGACCTGCAGTCACTAGGATCAACAACGCATGCTTTGAGGCAGTCGTAGTAACCAATACGATACCCCAGGAGCAGCACATGAAGGAGTCTAATAAAATCCAGGTATTTGTGGAACTTTTGTGAACGAGGCCTTTGAATAAAGATTTTTTGTTTTATCCAAAAGTTTTTCCGAGTAATGATAGTTGATTTTGTATTTTCTAGGGCTTTAAAAAGAAAGAATCAGCTGAGTTAGTTGCATTTGAGAGATCTTATGATGTTAGGGATGTTTTTATGTATATATAGTTTTTCTCAAGATTATATTTTTATGCTAATAGATCCTAAGGGTATTCATTATAAAAGGAGAAGGAAAGAAATGAGAAAAAGAGAGAGGATCAATTTTTATTTTTCTCATTTAGTATTTCATTGTGCGTATTAGAAAATAAAGGAATGGGATGGATAATCAGATTAGTATCACTTATTACCATTTTACTTGGGATTCAAAGGGAAATTGTAATATCAGTTTTAAGTCTGATGAAAATGGAAAAAAATCTTTTATTACATAGTCTAGTCTATTTTTTAATTTTTTTTTTTTAATTTTAAAAACATTAGAAAGAAATGAATGTGTTGATTAGCAGTTTTGTACAAAATCAAAAATCATATGCATGCACGTGTTGTAACTGTTGACGCAAAGGTTACAGCATTTTGTCCATCGTTAGTGTTTCTTTGCTGTTTTGTGTACATTGACTAATGGACAAGGCCTAATTATTATGTGTGCTTTTTTAGTTTCACTTTAGACTTTTAATTTACTAATGCTTTTACCTTGTATTAGCTTTTAGTTAAGGTGACTGTAGCTTTTAAGTAGATGGTTTTACTTTAGAGTATGCACAGTATGATAGTTGCAAGAACATTTTGGTTCTTACAGTTGTATAATTTGGCAATAAGTAATGTTGAAGTAGTGTAGATGTAAGTCATGGTGACAGCCTAATCTATTTATCTGAGTCTACTGATGAACGGTTTTGTACAGCGACTCGTCTCTTCATATGCAGTGCATGCCTTTGGGTCTTCTAAACTTAAAATGGTAAAACATACTGCATGTGTAATTGATATATTGGTTGGCCAGAATTTTTGCACCTAGAAGACGGTGAATTATGCCCATGATTTTGCATTATGAATGTACAAAGCTTTTGGGGAATGCATGAAAAAGTATTCAACAACTGTAAGCCCAAAGAAATGAAAACTGTGTATTTTTTAACGTTCTGTTGCCGACAGAAAAGGGAGAAACACTTTTGCATAAACAGGGAATTTAACCATGTATGCAGTAGTGCTTTTTTAAGTTTTATATGTGTATCCAATATTAACACCTTACTGTACAGATGCAGCCCAATTTTTACATGCAATTTATGAGTGAACTGTGTAATATAGTATTTTCTATTTTATGGGCAAGAAAAGTTGAATATATAAAGAAATTCTCATTGGTGTAATGTTTTGAAGGCATTATAACAAAGTTAATTTTAAAGTTCGGTGTCCTAGGTAATATAAGAAATTTAAAGAATTGTAAGTATAACATTAATATTTCCACCTCCCTTGCTTCCCAGTTCCCATCCTCCTCCTCCTCTTGTATCTCCTCCTCTCTGTCCTTTTCCGTTTCCTCCCATTCTTCCCCGTTCTTTTCCGTTTCGTCACTTTCTTGCTCTTCCGTTTCCTTTTCCTGTCCTTTTCCTCTTTATTTTTTTCCTCGTATTCCTTTTCCTCAATTCCTTTTACTCTTATTCTTTTACCTCTTATTCATTTTCTTCTTATTCATTTTCTTATTCCTCCTCTCTCGTCTTACTTCTTTTCCTCCTCTTCCTCTTCCTCCTTTTCTCCTCTTTCCTCTTTCCTCCTCCTCTTCACCTCTTCCTCCTTTTTCCTCCTCTTTCACCTCTTCACCTCTTCCTCCTTTCCTTCCTCTTTCTCCTCCTTCTTTTCCTCCTCTTTCCCTCTTCCTCCTCTTCCTTTCTTCCTTCCATTTCCTCTTTCTTCCATTTCCTCTTCTTCCATTATCCTCTTCTCTTCTTCATTTCTCTCCTTCCATTCCTCCTTCCATTTCCTCCTCTTCCATTTCCTCCTCTTCCATTTCCTCTTCTTCCATTTCCTCCTCTTCTTCTTCCTTCCTCCTTCCTCCTTTTCCTTCCTTCTTTCCTCTCTCCTCCCTTTCTTTTCCTCTTTCCTCCTCCCTTCCACCTTCTTCCTCCTCTTTCTTCTTCCTCTTTCTCTTCTTCTCCTCCCTCCTCCCTTCCTCCTTCCTCCTCCCTCTTTTTCCCTCCTTCTCCTCCTCTCCTCCTCCTTCTCCTCTTCCTCTACTCCTTCTCCTCCTCCTACCTTTCCTCCGCCTTCCTCTCCTCTTCTGTCTCCTTCCTTCCTACCTCTTCCTCTTCCTCCTCCTCTCCCTCTCTCCTTCTTCCTCCTTCCTCCTCTTCCTCCTCCTTCCCTCTTTCCTCCTCTTTCCTCCTCCCCCTCCTCTTTCCTCCCTCTCCTCCTTCCTCTTCTCCCCTCCTCCCTCCAATTCTTCCTCCCTCCTCTTCCTCTTTCCTCCTCCTTCCTCTTCCTCCTCCTCCACTCCTCCTTCCTCCTCTTCTCCTTTCCCTCTCCTCTTCTCTCCTTTCCTCTTCTCTCTCTCCCTCCTCTTCTCTTCTCCTCCCTCCTCTTCTCTTCTCCTCCCCTCCCCTCCCTCCCCTCCCCTCCCCTCCCTCCCTCCCCTCCCCTCCCTCCCCCCCTCCCTCCCCCTCCTCCTCCTCCTCCTCCTTCCTCCTCCTCCTCCTCCTCCTCTCCTCCTCCTCCTCCTCCTCCTCCTCTCCTCCTCTCCTCCTCTCCTCCTTCTCCTCCTCCTTCTCCTCCTCCTTCTCCTTCCTCCTCCTTCCTCCTCCTCCTCCTCCTCTTCCTTCCTCCTCCCCTTCCTCCTCCCTCCTCCTTCTCCTTCTTCCCCTTTCCTCCTCCCTCCTCTTCCACTTCCTCCTCCACCTCTTCTTCCTCTTACTTTTCCTCTTCCTAACTTTTCCTCTTCCTCTAATTTTCCTTCCTCCTCCTCTCTCCATTCCCACCCTCCTCTCCTTTAGTTTCCTCCTTTTTCACTTCTTCCTCCTTTAGTTTCCTCCTTTTTGACGTCTTCCTCCTTTATCATCTAATTTCCCTCTCCCTCCCCTCCTCCCAAACCCTCATGTATAACTCCCCGTTGAAGCCAGACTGATCCTGCAGCGCGTACCGTTGCCTTCTTACAGTTGATTGACGTGTCCAACATTTTGGCCGAGGCAATCCGTAGGACCCACAATGGAGAATCCGTCTCCTTCCTGTTCAACTCTGTCCCTCTCTAGATGCTGGTTGATGTTTGATGATGGGTGCTACAGTTGATGAGTTGATGGTGATGATGATGAGTCAGATAGGGTAGGTGAACCTTTTATACTGTGACGGTTTTTTCGCGCAGCCTGTTTCCCGCCCGGGCCTGAGTGCCAGGGGGGCGGAGGGGGTCTCACCCGCCTCGGCCCTCTCCCTTTCAGAGGTGCAGGTGCTCTGGTTATTTTGTGCAGTGTTGTAGAGTATTGATTAGTGTTTAGTGTTTTTTATATTTTAAGTTTTATATCAGTAAGGAACTAATGCTTAATGAATTTTGGTTGATTTTCTGTACTACATAAATGTATAAACAAAAAGCATGCATGCATCTGTCTTGTCACGTACGTAAACAACTACGTGTTATTATTAAATATGCATAATTATAAACTTGTGTGAAAGGTTTTTTAACGATAATTTGATACTAATTAATTGCTTAACTTAAAATCATTTTATGACAATTAATGAGACAACTGCAGTTAAATGTATCATTTTGTAAGTATGTGTATTTGTCTGCCGTTAAGTCATACGTTTTTAATTTTTCATCTGAACTGATAAGTGTCAAGTGTTTTTAAAAGTAACAACTTATCAAGAAGCAGAAAAGATATAGTGAGGCTCTCTTAACTCGTTGGTAATATGCAAGGTAGGAAATTGTAACTCTGTCACTATGTAGTCTTGGGTCCTGTAATATTTTTTTTTCGTGTAATAGCCAAGTATATTCTATCTAAGCTGAGTGTTTGCTAGGGTGTAAGTTTACCTGGTGCATGCTCTTTGTAATGAGAAATGGCTAGGTCCTTATCTTAGCACTACACTTTGGTTCATGTTGTGTATGCTGTTGGCATAGCTAAAAGTTTTGTAATGTTTACTGTTATTACTATTATTTGTTAATTAATTGATTTGTTTGTATGTATATTTATTTATTTGTTTTTCTTTCCATTTATTTTGCCTTGATTCTTGCCATTAGATACAGGTTTTCCTCAGCAGACAGGGCTGATCTCCAGAATGTAAATCATGTTTCATCTTCAGCATGTTGACTGATTACCTCATAGTTCTTTCATATTAGGAGGTTGAGAACTATGCAGAAAGTGTACTTTTTCTGATATTAATCTGTGATAAACTATGTCTTCATAGGTAAACTTTATTTGTTTTTGTTTAAAGAAATATCTTAGTGACATTTTCCCATGATTTGGTTGATATGATTTTATTATATATGTATATATTTTTTCTTACACAAGTATATCAGTTTGTATGAAGGCACACGAATGCAGGTGCGTGCATTACCGCACTCATGTGGAAGCATGCCCACCCAGACATGCATTGGCAAGCATATATATGTAGGCAAGCACATGCATGAGTTGTACACAATCAGGTTTATTCACATTCACTCACATTCACTTGTGTATGAAATTGATTATATGTATGTAGCTTTGTGTGAGCATCTATTTATAATATTTATGTGAAAGTTTTTTGTGCATGTATGTGTATAGAGTTACTTCTGTTTCTTCAACGTATTCCAGTGATATACGCTTAAGATTGTTGCATCATACATAAAAGGTTGAGTCTGTAAGTGAAAATCAGCTTCTCTAAAATAAATGCACATTCCTAACTTGTCTGATCTCACTAAAGTTATTTGTGCTTCGGTTCATTTTTTTATTTTTTATTTTTTTTTTTTTAGGTTACTCTTCTTGGTTCCTGTGAGAGAACCGATGATATCTTTGTATGTTTGTAATTACTTTTAAGGGTATGTTATATTCATAGATTACAGGTAAATAAGACTTGCAGGAACAAAAGATGAGTAAGCTGTCATTTGAGGAGGGTGTTACACTCTGAGTCCCTCTGCAGTTGTGTGAAACCCATGTGTATATGCTACAGTGTTAGTTAGGTAAAGTATTTCTCTGTACAGTATTAATGAATGTTAGATGTACAAATGTATATGTATTGATAACAAATTAACAATTTCCTCTTAGCTTCAAATCCTATAAAGCAGGCAAAGCATTTTGTGACAGGGATGCGACTATGATGGTATGAACGACGACAGGATTTCTGTAGCGGAATCTGCTCTCTCCTCCTTTATGTTGATGACACTTTGAGCAGGCCAAGCAGTGCAAGTGAAATGGTGGTGTGAGTTTCCACTACCACTCCTCCTGGTGAACCGGTGTTGCAATGATTCTTTCCTTCTCCTCTCCTCTCTCTTGTCTTCTCCTTTCTTCTGTCTGCTCCTCTTTTTCTTCTCCTCTTCTTCTCCTCCTTTCTTCGTCGTCTCCTCCTCCTCCTCGTCTCCTCCTCTATCTCCTCCTTCCCTTCTTCTTCGTCTCTCTTCTTCCTCCTTCTTCGTCTCTTCTTCCTCCTTCTTCGTCTCTTCTTCCTCCTTCTTCGTCTCTTCTTCTTCTTCTTCTCCTTCTTCTCTTCTTCTTCTTCTTCTTCTTCTTCTTCTTCTTCTTCTTCTTCTCTTCTCTCTCTCTTCTTCTTCTTTCTTCTCTTCTCTCTTCGTTCTTCTCTTCTTCTTTCTTCTCTTCTTCTTCTTCTCTCTTCTTCTTTCTTCTTCTTATTCTTCTCTTCTTCTTCTTTCTTCTTCTCTTCTTCTTCTCTCTTCTTCTCTTCTTCTTCTTCTTCTCTCTTCTCTTCTTCTCTCTTCTTCTTCTCTTTCTTCTCTCTTCTTCTTCTCTTCTTCTTCTCTTCTTCTTCTCTTCTTCTTCTCTCTTCTTCTCTTCTTCTTCTCTTCTTCTTCTCTTCTCTTCTTTCTCTTCTTCTTCTCTTCTCTTCTCTTCTTCTTTCTCTTCTTCTTCTCTTCTTCTTCTCTTCTTCTTCTTCTTCTTCTTCTTCTTCTCTTCTCTTCTTCTCTCTTCTCCTTCTTCTTCTTCTTCTTCTTCTTCTTGCTTCTTCTTCTTCTTCTCTTCTTCTCTTCTATCTCCTCCTCTCCTCTCCTCTCCTCCTCTCCTCTCCTCCCTCTCTCTCCTCTCCTCTCCTCTCCCTCTCCTCTCCTCTCCTCTCCTCTCCTCTCCTCTCCTCTCCTCTCCTCTCCTCTCCTCTCCTCTCTCCTCTCCTCTCCTCTCCTCTCCTCTCCTCTCCTCTCCCTCTCCCCTCCTCTTCCTCCTCCTCTTCCTCTTCCTCCTCCTTCCTCCTCTTCCTCCTCCCTCCTCCTCTTCCTCCTCCTCTTCCTCCTCCTCTTCCTCCTCCTCTTCCCTCCTCTTCCCTCCTCTCTCCTCTCTCTCCTCTCCTCCCTCCTCCCTCCTCCTCTCTCTTCCTCTTCCTCCTCCTCTTCCTCCTCCTCCTCCTCCTCCTCCTCCTCCTCCTCCTCTCTTCCTCCTCCTCTTCTTCCCTTCTGCACTTCCTCTTCCACTCCCTATATCCTCCTCTCCCTATCTCTGCCTCCTCCTCTTCCTTTTTTTGATTGTGCCGAATTTGGAGCATTGATTGCACCTCGCTGAAAAAATGAAGAAATGGATTACCAAAAGCTGTGCTAAACAAGTGTGTTATTCAAGGGTAGGACACGGCAAGGTTAATCAGTTGGTAATACCAGGTAATGATGGGTAATTTTTGTTTAGTCTCGATCATTGCATTTCACCAACATTGTCATTTTTTTTTTAGAACCAGCCTCTATGGTTCCCTCTTCATTTATTGATGGTGGCAGGTTGTATGGTAAATGGATAATGTAATGGGTTAAGGAACAGTAATTTTAGTTTTGATTTGCAAAGATCTTTCAGATGCTTGTACAGATACAAAGCTCGATAGACATAACACACACTCATACCCATTGCTCACACCCACACCCACACCCACACCCACACCCACACCCACACCCACACCCCACACCCACACCCACACACCCACACCCACACCTATTCCCTAAGCCTCACTCAGTCACTCTTAATATTTTTGTATTTCATGTTTTATACCAGGTGTGTACATTCAATATTTTGTTGTTTTACCTTTCAGGTGGAGGGGAATAACGCAATAGTTTTACCATTTGATTTTGTAGATTCGAGTTTTAACATGCTATAAGAATCACCATTTCTGGATCATAACAGCTTCACTCTCTTTTCAGTGTATTGACATCTCCTTGGTGTTTGCCGAAGCAATACGGAGGACACACAACGGAGAGAGCGTTTCGTACTTGTTTAGCAATGTTCCATATCACTAGGACTCATCGTTGTACATAACTACTTGTGTGGTCAAAGCACCGTTGTACCATCATGCTGAATATGTTTATTAGTGTTTGAGTGTGAATGGTACAGGTGCCTAAAATATGTCTCTTTTTTTTCTTTTTTTTCTCCTCACATGTGAATTATATACAAGATATGTAAATGAAAAAGAAAAAAATTTAAAAATGAGTATAGGAAAACAGAATAGGAATCCCATCTCCCATTGGCGTATGTAGGAGTGCCTATTTTTATACCGCATCAGGCCTGTGAGTAATATATATTAATGGAATGTAATGCCTTATACTAATTGATTAATAATTAATCACACCCATTTCTCTCCCTTGACGCAAATGCAAAGGGACAAGTTAAAGAAATAAAATATCTTTTGTTATATTGTCTAAATATGTTTTGAGAGCATATATATATTTTCAATAAATTTCCCAAATTTTTGTATTTCGAAGATATTGACTTGCTGCCCTGTCCTTATCCGAGTGTGCTTGGTTCCAGAAGGTGAAAATTTATGGTGGTGTGAGTGTGGGTCTCCTGGAGCACTTAGTTGCTGTTGCTATGGTGGATAAAATGTGGATGATAAGTAAGAATGATGATCTTAGAAGCATGCATGTACACTTGCCTTTCAATACACATGCATACAATATACTCAGGCACACACACTGACATCATTTGGCACAAGCATGCATACATTCTCTTGCACCCACACACACTTGCATGTGTCCCCACAGATGAACATATGTCTCTCCACAGTTGCATGCACATGTCTCCACACGTATCTTTACAGATGCATGTGTTACAGACGCATGCATGTGGAGAGGCACACACATGCATCTCTACAGGCACACTTACGTCTTCATGGCCATTCTTGGAGATGTGTGTTTTATTATGTAGGCACATGCATACATCCCCCCCATACACAAACAGGCATGCCAAGCATGAAACTGCAGGCAAACACATGCTTTCTCATTGATATGCTCCTCACTGGCACATGCATGCTGGCTGGCACTTGCACACACACTTGCTAGCACATACATGCCCACCCATTAACACTTGCCTACAGTTACGTGCATGCACACCGGCAGACGCATTACCTGTATGTTCACACCTGTAGACTCGCAGAGAACATGCATACATGTATAATAGGCACTCACATGCAAGAGAGGAAGAGAGGGAGTGAGCTTATGCATGCATGTAGAGCTGCACAGGTACACATGGGGATGTAGAGCTGTACATGGAAGCACATAGTGTTGCTCATGCACATGCACACATGTAGAGCTGCACATGTACAGGCACAGGCACATGCACGCATTTAGAGCTGCACAAGCACAAGCACATGCACGCATTTAGAGCTGCACAAGCACAAGCACAAGCACATGCACATGCACATGCACGCATGTAGAGCTACATATGCACATGCACGCATGTAGAGCTACATAAGCACATGCACGCATGCAGAGCAACACAGGCACATACAAGCTTGTGGACCTGCAGAGGCACACTAAGGCATGTAGAGATGCATTGGCACAGACAGGAAAGTAGAGGTGCACATACAAGCATGTGGGGGTACACCAGCACATTTAGGTATATAGACAGAGGTGCACAGCTCACGCAGGCATATGAAGAAGCACAGTCATATGCTGGCATATAGAAATGCACAGGGATATGCTTTCACACAAAATTTGGACATCCTCACATATAGGCAGGGAAACACTTGTATATGTATGCATGCATGTATGCACACAGAATATGCTCACAGGTAAATGCCCACAATGTCTATACACAGGTGTATGCACATACATAATTATTCATACAGATGCATATTCATGTATGCACATAGCACATGGATGCATACACTTATTCACAATCACGCATGCATATAAACATGACCACATAGATGCACACACATATTCACAGTTTCTGATCTATATACACACATAAGTACATAGATACATACAAATACATATTCACACACGTACTCTCATGTATGCATGCAGATGCACACATGATTGTATACAAAGCTACAGGTGTATCCATGTATGTGTGTGCACACATGCCTGTACCTTCCATGCTTACAAGTCCATGCATGCACACAGATACATGCTTATATTTCTAAATACACACAGGCATGTTTGTGCATATACACATACAAATATTGACATACACGAGTTAAATATACAATTACTTGGAGTGGCTTTGAGAGTGGCTGTGTATGTGAAAGTATGGTTGCATGTGTGTGTGTTTTGTGTGTGTGTGTGTGCATGTGTGTGTACCCAGTTGAGTGTGAGAATATAGAGTATATGTAAATTTGACAATATGGCTTATGTGTATACTGATTTAGTGTACTTAAGATTCAAGCTGTGTGCATGTTGAGGGTAGAAAGTACCTCTGAAAGAGTGGATGGGGGAAATGCTAACGGAAAAGAAAGTTTAAATATGGGGAGCAGTTTGTCACCTGTTACTACGCAAAGGCATAATACCCCAAGATCTGAGAGAATTATGGGTTTTGGGCTTCATTTATTTTTTTGTTTTGGGGGTTATCCTTAAAAAAAAAAAAAAAAAAAAAAAAAAATGGTAGGGTAGTTTTTCAGTGATGAAATTTACATTTACTGCAAATTTATAAATGGTAGATGTCTTCAGCTGAAAACAGAGCTTAAAATACTTTAGTTATTTAAAATGAACTTATATTTGGGGTATGCAGGATACTAAGATGAAAGTATTCAGAAATTTGTTTAAGTAATGGTATGTTGTTAGCACGAGTGAAATGAAACTATTATTTGAGTATATCGTCTCGCCAATTTGAGTGAATGATGCGAAAATGTGGATGAAAATGAAGTTGTACCTGTTTTTTATTGTCTGTCGCTGCACAGGTTAGCCTAGCATTGTTGGATTTGTCATTCCTGTAGGTTTGTTATAGGTGATATTGTCCGTTTCCCAGGATACTGGTTACAAAAGACACGGTAGATGTAACATGTAATGAAGGATGATCATAGTTTGTATTATTTGTCTTTCTGAACTCTATGAAAATATTAATTTTTTTTTGGTTTTTAAGATGAATATTAAAAGTATTTATAATATAGCTCTTAAGATGTTTAATGAACTTGTCATCAGTGAATGCTTATAATAAATAAAGAGTATTGCCTTGATAAAGACTGATATATATAGTCATGATGGACTCTCATCGTAATGTATTATGACTTCACGTAAAATTCACAGTTGCTCAATTGAAGTTCTTCTTGAACATGAAAGAACAAAGCCGGTGAATATTGTTAAAGGATTTCCATTAAAAGTTTAAGATTTTTTGATGTTTTCATTTATAAAGCTTTAGTTGTCTATGAACAGGAAGGACTTTTCATTGTGGCTTCAGGGTGGAAATGCACTGTAGACTTCACGGAAAATGGTACGAGTTATTCTTTAAGCAAGTTCTATTAAAATGAGATGATTTATGAATTTGAATGTAGATCATTTTCCTTTGCAATCAGTATTGAAATTGGAATAATTTGATATTTTAAAGTGTTATTTTTATGGTTATGTATAATTAAAAGAATTCTAAGAAATTTGACCATAGAGATATGAATAAGTAAATTCTCTTCTAGAATTAAGTCATACATTTCCTGAGTGAGAGAACTACTGAGAATTGGATGTTGTATCTTCAGCTGAAGATGTTATCTCATTGGTGATGTATTTTACACAACCTGGAAAGATATGTTACATCATAATGAGTAGTTTCATGTATCCCCATAATGACGGTGGTGAGGGTGTGTGTGTGTGTGTGTGTAGGTATCTTTATTTCAAATTTATTATTATTTTTTTAACCTTTTTTCACTAATTGTGCATTTGTTTATTTATATGGCAAATCTTTATTGAATTAGTAACTTACTTGAAGTGTCTATATGATACAAGTTTCATTGGGAAATATGATGTATGGCAAGTAGGGTTAGGAGGATGAATAAAGCGGGATTCCCTGCGTCTTACCGAGACATTTACCAAGACATTACCAAGATTTGCAGAGTCAGCTGTTCAAGTAAAAAATTAGGAGCCATGTATGGCAAGTAGGGTTAGGAGGATGAATAAAGCGGGATTCCCTGCGTCTTACCGAGACATTTACCAAGATTTGCACAGACTCAGAGCTCAAGAAACAAACATTTGCTCAGTTCTCTTTGCTTTTTGGCTTTCTTTTTTTTTATAAGGAAATGAGGCAAGATGAGACTAAGCCTACTGCATTTCCCCAAGAACTGTAGTAAGGACCACATAAGAGAAACTGCTTTGTGCACACAACTCAGAGCAGGTAGAACTGTGTATGGTTTAGGTATTTATCCATAGCAGCTTCATGTCATTAGCAAAAACCTTTTTTTAATGCCATGAATCAAAAGCTTTGACTTTGTTTTATGCCTAATAGTTACAAGAAATAGATATTATTCTAATGTATACAATTTGGAAGACTTTTGGATGACTTCATTAACTACCAGTAGAATTCATGCAAAGCAGCATAAATTCTTTGATTGTCTAATGGTATTCAGTAATAATAGATCTGAAACCTTGAACTGTCGAAAGTCAGTATTCAGAGTAGAATTAAGATTTCTTTGGGTTTGTAAAAGAGGTGTGAAATAGAATGACATGAAATGCTAACCTATTCATTCTTCCCTTTGTTCATCTCAACTGAACATGCAACGTTTAGGTTGTTTGCGGACAAATCTGATTTTTCACTTTTTAAGCTAGGATTTTTTTTTTCTTTTTTGATGAATAGGAGAAAATGAGTAAAATGATGTTCTAGAGTTGAAATAATTGTTGTGGGAAGATGACAATTGTATTATGCTAGAAAAGATGGTCATAGGAAAGGAAAAGACCAGTTTTAGTATTTAAAAGAAAGTTGCAAGGAAAAATGGTTTGTAGAAAATGGGAAAGTTCATAATCAAAATTTGTTTTCAGGTCTAATGTGTTTTTGATATTAATCTCTTACTTAAGAAAGATAGCGCTGATTCATCCTGAATTTATGAATGCAGTTTTATATGAGTGTCCATGTACTGTATGTATGTATGTTAACATGAATGCAATGAAGGATGTCATTGTATAAATGAAATTGGTTTGCATGAATTCTATAAATGCATAAGCTGTGTGTACACTGTGTATGCTGTGATTTATTATGCTGTAAGACATGACAAAGAACTCCTCCCTTCTGGACATTATCATTAGAAAAAGACTGCTCTTCTGTGTCAGTTGCTTACTCTCCGTCCTTTATAAATACTATGGGACCTCACTGTTCATGGAGACGAAAGAATGAATTTTGACAGTGCTTGTCATGTACGTTGCTAACTCATCATGTGAGAAATTAGGATTGAACTCTGACAATAAAAGATAATAATGCAGATAAAAGCGATTTTAGGTTTATCTAAATGTGATTAGATACTTGAAGCAGGTAGGATCATTTTGAACAGTTATGCAGTGAAAAAAAGGAAGAAATATTACTGTCTTGACAACTTTTCATGCTGGCATTAATAGTAGCTCATGCTATTTTGCTAAGAGGATGGGCATTAAGATAAAAGTAAAGGATAAAGTAAATGTAGGATAAGTAAATTTGTTAAAGCAATGCATATTTTAACCTAGCGTCCTGGAAGATGTGTTCACAGTAGTATTGTCTAATAAAATGCCTCTGCACTTAGATTGCTCTAAACATGCTTAGCCACAAAGGTCCATTAGTAAAAAAAAATTAATAGATTGAACTTGCTATGGGCATGGCATCTATGTACGTGTAATCCTAGGCGTCATTGGGTTAATGAAGGAAAGTTGAGATGGAAAGAGCTGATCAAAGACAAAAACTGAATCCTTTAGATATTATAATCATGTATAGAATATTGATTCCAATGCACATAATAAAACCATTTGAAATAAAGTTGTCAATATCAGAATGTCAGTACAAGGTTTGTATAAATTCTCTACTGAAATGTAATGAAAGCAAGAGTTCTTAATTTGCATCATTGGTTATTACATGAGTTCAAGTGAAACTATTACATTCTAATAGTAATTTCCTAAGAACATTTGAGACTGCAAAAAAGTACGTAGTGCAAAGGATGCATTAGTAATATCTATAATCCTCCATTAATCCTGTTCCCTCAAAAAATATTACCCTATAGTATGAGCTTATATTTAGATTATTAAGCTATGTTTCTCACATCTAGAGATAGCAATGGAAGGACAGTCAGTCATATAATTAAGATTTCCTCCTTCAGAATCTGAATGAAGAGCCTTGTTTAGCTGCTCTTCAAAGCTGGTGAAGGTGGGCTGATAAATGCTGGTTGATCTCGAGAGGAGTGAGGTGCCTTGATGCTGTGATGTGGTTACTTTAGAAGCTGTTACGATACTTTTTTTTTTCATTTATGATGGATGTCAGTCCTTACGGTTTCTTGAGATTTGTGATTTTCATTTTTGGAAATATTAGTTTATGTTGAGTTCTTTTTTCTTTTTGTTGTTTTCATTATTGTTGTTATCATCTTTATCATTACCAGTGTTGGTTTTGGTTTATTTGTTACCTTTGTTTTTCTTCACTCATCATTGCCATTCATTGAAAGAAGATGCCTTCTGAGACCTTGAGTGACCCTCGTTACGAATTCACTTAAAATTGATATCATTACTGTTACTATTATATTCATCTGTTTTATGGTATGTACTTTTTCGATGCTGTGTCTTACCTATCTGTCTATCTACTTACTTACTTACTAAGTGACCTACCTACATACTAACTTATCTATTTATCAATTTTTTTCATGTTTATCATTTCTTTACTTTTTGTGTTCACTCTAATGTATTCTTCATATATATATATAACAATTCACTGTTTTGCCACGCCCAGTCAGCTCTTTTTAACATTGTGATAGAACCTGCAGTGATACATTGTATTAGAAATTCTTGTAATTATTGAATATTAAAGGTGTAGCCAGAATGATCCCGATTCTTATCTCAGAGCAATTATATCTTGAAATTGAATAATTATGTGTTATATAAGATTTATTACAGATTTAGTATGTGTTAGATGTTGTGGCAGTGTTACATATACTGAAAGGTATGGCATTGGTAACCTTAAATCATTCCTTTTCAAGTGTTTAATATTTCAGTGTAGGATGCGAGCGGGTGTTGATTCTTTGGTATGTGTAAAGATATTGTTTCCATTGGAGAATAAAGGGAAATATTATTTTCTTGTATTTCTGTTGAATCCTGTGTTATATTGTTGGTGTTATATGACAATTGTTAGCTTGTTAACTGCAGTGTACCACATTTTCTGTATGGAGTTGAGAATCCTTTATCGTAAGTTTTATGATATAAAGTGGAAATTGTATTGCTAATAATAATTCCTTAGTAGAATAGGTCTTGATTAGCATGGGGGTTGTTTTTGAGGCAATTTTTATTTAGCAGGGAATATTTGTTACTAATGTTGATGGTGAACGTTTCTTTATGAATAAGAAAAAAAATATTTCCTAATAAATGAAAAAGAAAAAAAACAAGTTCAGTGAATATTGATAAACCAACCAAGATGGAAGAAATTAGATACTGATTAATAGTTTTGATTAAAATTTATAAGTATGATTCATTTGCAGATAAATATTTGGGATTCAAGTATTAGTTTGATGTTAGCATCAGTATTATATCTATTCTGATATAATGTATATATTTATTTAGTTATACAAGAAATGTAAACAGACAAAGATAATAGCAATGATAATAGGAGGAAAAAATAAGCTTTGTATATTAAATTAATGTTTTTTTCTGTACAATAGATAATGACATAGAAAAGACAGATATAATAACACACATATAAGGGTAATACGGAGATGAAAGCTTAAATGAATAAAGAATAAGAAGTATTATAAAAGATAAAGCTAATAAGAAATATAGAAAAAAACAGAGACCTTAACATGTAAAATCAAAATCCACGCATTCCTTTCTTTCTAGTAGTTAAAACTTATATTATCCTGGAACTGAGTGAAATGCTCGACCAACTGATGAACAAACGTATCGACGTTTATTCCACTGAGGTCGACCTCCGGCAAGTCCTCAGTCGGCTTGCTTTTACACGTGTCTTGCCCGTTGATCGCGCCGACGATGGCGAGGTCGATGGCTTCGTAAAACGTTGTGTCGAGAAACGTTTCCACGTAGTCGAAGATGTCCGGACCGAAGGAGGAGAGAATGAGGTTGACGAGTTGGCCTTGGTCGCCCTCGGTGGGGTTGAGGTTCTCGAAGTTGACCTGTTGGGGAGGAGGGAGGGAGGGAGGTGTTGAGAGTGGAGGGAGGCAGGAGGGTGGGAGGGAGGGAGGGACACTGAAAGTGAAGAAGGAAGGTGGGAGGGAGGGAGAGAGAGGAGAGAGAGAGAGAGAGAGAGAGAGAGAGAGAGAGAGAGAGAGAGAGAGAGAGAGAGAGAGAGAGAGAGAGAGAGAAGAGAGAGAGAGAGAGAGAGAGGAGAACGGGGAAAGTGAAAGAGGTGGAAGGGAGAGAGAAAGACAGGAAAGGTGAAGAGGAAAGAAATAAAAGAGTGGATTAGAATGGAAGGGAGAGGGAGGTGAAAACAACGAAAAGAAAATTTAGACTGGAAGAAAGAGGGAGGCAAAGAAAGAGAGAAAAAATTGAGGGAGAAATTTCGAGATGAGTGAGAGCTGTTGGAACTCGCACACAAATTCGGCTGGAGAAGATTGAAGGTTTCCCAGCCGAATGACACCGTGATGGCCAGGTCGTGTAAGGTCACGCTGCGGAAAAAAAGGTCATTGGGTTTCTACGTTAGTGGTCTATAGTCTTGATTATTAGTCTTATTTGATGCCCGCACACAACTATTTATATACATATACACACACGCGCAAACACGCAAACGCACACACACACACACACACACACACACACACACACACACACACACACACACACACACAACACACCACACACACACACACACACACACACACACACACACACACACACTACATACACTTAAACTCACTCCCCTTCATACACAAAACAATCAAAAAAAACGTATCACAGAAACAACCAAAAATCAACACCTGCCCTTATCCCCAACTCTACAGCTTACAACAACAACAAAAGTCTTACCTCATACAACAACAACAACAAAAGTCTTACCTCATGACAACCTACAACAAACAACAACAACAAAGTCAACAACAAATCTTACCTCATGCCCTTACCCCAACACAACAACAACAACAAAAGTCTTACCTCATGGGCCCCTTACCCCAACTCTACAACAACAACAACAAAAGTCTTACCTCATGGGCCCCTTACCCCAACTCTACAACAACAACAACAACAAAAGTCTTACCTCATGGGTCCCTTACCCCAACTCAACAACAACAACAACAAAAGTCTTAACCAACAACAACAACACAAAAGTCTTATCACCCTTACCCCAACTCTACAACAACAACAACAACAAAAGTCTTACCTCATGGGCCCCTTACCCCAACTCTACAACAACAACAACAACAAAAGTCTTACCTCATACAACAACAACAACAAAAGTCTTACCTCATGGGCCCCTTACCCCAACTCTACAACAACAACAACAACAACAACAAAAGTCTTACCTCATGGGCCCCTTACCCCAACTCTACAACAACAACAAAAGTCTTACCTCATGGGTCCCTTACCCCAACTCTACAACAACAACAACAAAAGTCTTACCTCATGGGCCCCTTACCCCAACTCTACAGCTTACAACAACGACAAAAGTCTTACCTCATACAACAACAACAACAAAAATCTTACCTCATGGGTCCCTTACCCCAACTACAAACAACAACAACAACAACAACAAAAGTCTTACCTCATACAACAACAACAAACAAAAATCTTACCTCATGGTCCCTTACCCCAACTCTACAACAACAACAAAAAGTCTTACCTCATACAACAACAACAACAAAAGTCTTACCTCATACAACAACAACAACAAAAGTCTTACCTCATGGGTCCCTTACCCCAACTCTACAGCTTACAACAACACACTAATACAAGTCTTAGTACAACAACAACAACAACAAAAGTCTTACCTCATACAACAACAACAACAAAAGTCTTACCTCATACAACAACAACAATCTTATCACAAACAACAACAACAAAGTCTTACCTCATACAACAACAACAACAAAAGTCTTACCTCATACAACAACAACAACAAAAGTCTTACCTCATACAACAACAACAACAAAAGTCTTACCTCAAGTCTTACCTCAACAACAACAACAACAAAAGTCTTACCTCATACAACAACAACAACAAAAGTCTTACCTCACAAACAACAACAACAAAAGTCTTACCTCATACAACAACAACAACAAAAGTCTTACCTCTACATACAACAACAACAACAACAAAAGGCTTACCTCATACAACAACAACAACAAAAGTCTTACCTCATACAACAACAAACAACAAAAGTCTTACCTCATACACAACAACAAAGTCTTACCTTCATACAACAACAAAACAAAAGTCTTACCTCATACAACAACAACAACAAAATCTTACCTCACAACAACAACAACAAAAGTCTTACCTCATACAACAACAACAACAAAACTTCAACAACAACAACAACAAAAGTCTTACCTCATACAACAACAACAACAAAAGTCTTACAACTACCTCATCTTACCTCATACAAAACAACAACAACAAACAAGTCTTACCTCATACAACAACAACAACAAAAGTCTACCTCATACAACAACAACAACAAAAGTCTTACCTCATACAACAACAACAACAAAAAGTCTTACCTCATACAACAAAACAAAAGTCTTACCTCATACAACAACAACAACAAAAGTCTTACCTCATACAACAACAACAACAAAAGTCTTACCTCATACAACAACAACAACAACAAAAGTCTTACCTCATACAACAACAACAACAAAAGTCTTACCTCATACAACAACAACACAACAAAAGTCTTACCTCATACAACAAAACAACAACAAAAGGCTTACCTCATACAACAACAACAACAAAAGTCTTACCTCATACAACAA